CTGTTTTTTAAACTAACGAACTCGTTTTGATTTATGGTGTTTCAACTTGCAAAATACGTGTGTTCTTTTGTGTTTTAATTGATGAAAACGTTGTGTTTCAGGCGTTTTAACTAATGAAGTAATTGTGTTTTGGGCGTTTTAACTTACAAACGAGTTATTCTTCTTCATAATAATAATAATAATAATAATAATAATAATAATAATAATAATAATAATAATAATAATAATAATAATAATAATAATAATAATCAAGCGAGTTGTGTTTTTAAAGCGTTTTAACTTACCCATTGTCACCCTGTTGTTAAGAACATAAGAATGGAGGAACACTGCAGAAGACCTACTGGCCCATGCAAGGCAGGTCCTTGTTTTAACATAACGAATGGTTTACATAGATAAACCAACAGCACACACTTTGTTCATGTTTCACACCTGTTCGCATTATGTGGCGTGTGAATTGTATGTTACAATTTATTCAACATAAGTCGCCCACCCATTTCGGGACGCCCTCCCGGCCAGTGATGCAACAGTTAAGAGTGTAGCAGGTCTGGGACCACACTGCTCTGCTAACTGGTAGTTCAACAGCCAATTCTGTGATGTCTTCGACCTTCGACGGATGGAGCAGGAACTGGCAGGTTGTCCACACCTCTGGTCGAACACACTCAGTGGTTCTTGCTCCTACAATACCAATTGCTATATATATATATATATATATATATATATATATATATATATATATATATATATATATATATATATATATATATATATATATATATATATATATATATATATATATATATATATATATATATATAGATAGATAGAAAAATATATGCAGATTTCGCAAACCAAGCGATACAGGATGCAAAACAACCAAGGGGGGAGTAGTATTATACCTCTAGGCCTTTCGTGTTGCAATCATCACATCATGAGGAGCTTGCAAAGTTGCAGAAAAGAGGAGGATGTCCAAGCAAATACGATCCCAAAGGACGTCTTCACTGGAGTGCGGGAGGAGAGAGAGAGAGAGAGAGAGAGAGAGAGAGAGAGAGAGAGAGAGAGAGAGAGAGAGAGAGAGACAGACAGACAGAGAGAGAGAGAGACAGAGAGACCTGGTGGTCCCTGGTCAAGGCCAGACAAGGTTATCTGCCTGATGAACTCATTCCACCTCTAAATCGAGAGGATGGGACCACCTCTACTAGTAGTCAAGAGAAGGCGGACCTCTTTGTCGAACACTTTGCTACCAAAATGCAAGTTCCTGATCCAGTAAGGGACCCTCCTTGGCTAGCTGCAAGAACTGTGTCAAAACTGTCAGTGGTGACAATAAGGCAGGAGGAGGTGCATTTCCTTCTTCAATCGCTTGACCAAGAAAAGGCTATGGGCCCAGACAAGTTGAGCCCAAGATTGTTGAGAAGATGTGCAGACCAGCTAGCAGCACCTCTAACTCGCATCTTCCAGCACTGCCTAGCACAATGTAAATGGCCCTCTCTGTGGGAAGAGACAAATGTAGTCCCTGTTTACAGAAAGAAGAGCAGAACAGAATCAGCAACTACAGACCAGTGTCACTCCTGTCAATCACTGGTAAGATCCTTGAGACAATAATCTCAAGAAAAATGACAGAGTTTTTTGACTACCACTCACTACTTTGTGATCGTCAATATGGCTTCAGGAAAGGTTACTGTGCTGCTGATCTGTTGTTAAACCTCTCCACTAAGTGGCACCAGTCACTGGACGAATCCAAAGTCAGCTGTGTGGTAGCACTGGACATTGCTGGTGCTTTCGACCGGGTGTGGCACCAGGGTCTCTTAGCAAAACTTCAAGCACTGGGAATTGCAGGCTCTACGCTATGTCTCCTCAGTGATTACCTTCATGGTAGATCTCTAAGGGTAGTTCTCAATGGAACGAAATCAGCAAGACATCTTGTTGGGGCAAGTGTTCCACAAGGAAGCGTGCTGGGACCATTGTTATGGAATGTCTACTTCAATGAGCTTCTTCATCTCATCCCAGAATCCCATGCATATGCAGACGACTGTACACTGACATTCACTTATCCAAGAGAAGAAATGCTAGCTGCTCTAAGCTACATCAATCACCAGCTAAGAGCTATATCAGCTTGGGGAAATAGATGGCAAGTAACATTTGCACCTGAGAAAATGCAAATGATGATAGTCTCTAGGCACCATGATGGTAATGCTGGTGCAGTAGTAAGGATGAATGGGAGGGTGTTGGCACCTGGAGAAGAAGTTGATATCCTTGGGGTGAAATCTGACTCCAAACTGACCACAAAGAACCATGTTGTAAATCTTGCAAACAAGGCAGCCAAGAAGCTTACAGCACTTCGCCGTATCTCGCATCTGCTTGACAGTAGGGGTTGCAAGATTCTGTACGAGGCACAAGTACGCTCACACCTTGAGTATGTTCCACTTTCTTGGTTTGCCTGCCCCCCATCCCTCTCATCTGCGACTGCTTGACAGGGTAGAGAACAGAGCAAGACGACTCATCTCTCGCCTGGACCCATCCTGGATAGATCTGTCATTTCAGCAGAGCCTTCAACACAGGAGGGATGTGGGTGGGCTTACTGTTATGTACAAGGCCAATATTGTCAAAGTACCACACTTGGATCCACTTCGAGGACAGCGTGAAACAAGCTTTTATGCCACAAGACGGGCAGAAAGCAGCAACTTCACTCTGGCTGTACCCTTCTCCAGAACATCACTCCATCTGAGATCATATATACCCAGGATGACTCGAGTATGGAACACATTCGTACAGCATAATGATGTCAACGAGATAAAGTCAGTTGATCAAATGAAAATGCTGGCCCACAGATGGCTCCAACTTCATCCTGTTCCCTACTTGTATGTCTCATAACAATAAAAATGCTTTCAAATGAGCTGATGTAGGTAACAGCTCTTAGCTTGCCAATAAAGTTAGGAATCCTTAACCTGTAAATAGCTTGTCAATAAAGCTAGGGATCCTTAACCTTGTCAAACCCTGTGTAAAAAAAAAAGAGAGAGAAAGAGAGAGAGAGAGAAGGGAACAGGAAGTGCCCCCAGGCACACCAGTGCCCATAGCCAGAAGGATGAATATTATAGCATTAGAAAAAATCCATAAGCATTGATATTGTAATAGTAGCCTAACCGTAACTAATGTGATATAGAAGTCACTGGCAATTATGGAGTAACCATCCACGAGGAAGCGGGACCATTTAAAAGGACGAGAAAACGGTAACATTTAAAGGGGAGACTTCTAGAAGCTATGTAAAGGAAACGGTGCTCATTAAAATAAACTCATTTAATTACAAGGAAGACGGCCATAGTTATTCATCCCACATAATTCTGAGGCAAAATCTGGTTCAGCCTTCAGAAACTAGGGGGCTGGGTTTGATTGGTGTCAAGGGGTACGGGAGTTATTTCTTGAGTAGCTTTAGGTAGATGTCGTTTTGATAAGGACCTGCCTCGTATGGGCCAGTAGGCCTTCTGCAGTGTTCCTACATTCTTATGTTCTTAAACTACAGGAAAAATAGGCCATAATTCCTCAGTGTGGCATTACATTTAAGACAATCTAATGAATTTGTATAAGAGCCCAGTTTTATTATTGCCTCAACTGAAAACGCATCTAATTTGACTAACCCGTCACTGATATTGAATAATCCATACTTATCTTGCTTAATAATTACCGATTCTACAATATTCCTTTTAAGCCGAGAGGAACAAGGGAAAATGACTCTTGCTTCCTGCCAATTAGCCGGGTTATTACAAGCTCTAATGTGGTTGAAAATTGCGTTCGACTCCTGTGCTATAAGTATCGAATAACAGTTATGTGAAATTCTGACTTTCAGCGGTTTTCCCGTCTGTCCCAAATAGGAGAGACTGCAACTGTTGCAACCAATTCTGTAGACACCACCAACACGCTGTTGGGGTGAATTCTTTATCAGAATGCTTCTAACAGTCCATGAATTTTTAAATACTACTTGCATATTAAATCTTTTAAGGGCATTCGGCAGGATAAATTCTCGTTGAATGGGAAAACCAGCACATTCTTGGTCTGAGGTGTTATCCTAGGGTCTGTTCTATAACAAGTTTTCTTGGTTGCCAGTAAGGCAGATTTCACAAACACTTTAGGATACCGCAGTTTCATGCCAATGTCAAATATTTTCCTAATTTCTTCATCCAGGAACCCCAGACTGCACACTCTATAGGCTCTCAGAAGCATAATAAGAAATACACTCCTTTTAACTCTCATCTTATGGTTGGAATAGTAGTGGATCTTAAATGAATGCATTAGACTGTCTTAAATGTATTGCTACACCGAGGAATTAGGACCTTTTTTCCTGAAGTTTCTGAAGGTTGAACCAGAGTTTTCCTCAGAATTATGTGGGATAATTACAGATGCCTCCCTCTTTAAATAAGTTTATTTTAATGACCCCCGTTTCCTTTGTATAACTTTTAGAAGTCTTCCCCTTAAATGTTCCCATTTTCTCGTCCCTTTAAATGGACCCGATTTCTCATGGACGGTCACTCCATAATTGCCAGTGACTTCCATATCACTGGCAATATAATTAGTTAATCATAGCGGAGTATGACTGAATTTTTTTTATTGCTACGTTACTTTCGTTTAGGCTACTATTACAGTATCAGTGCTTGTGGGATTTTTCTAATGCTATAATATTCATCCTTTTGGCTATAGGCACTGGTATGCCTGAGGGCACTTCCTCTCTCTCTCCTTTCATTCACTCTCCCTCCCTTACTCCAGTGAAGACGTACTTTGCGATCATATTTGCTTGGATATCCTCCTCTTTTCTGCAACTTTGCAAGCTCCTGATGATTTAATGATAGCAACAAGAAAGGCCTAGAGTATAATTCTACTCCCATATATATATATATATATATATATATATATATATATATATATATATATATATATATATATATATTATATATATATATATATATATATATATATATATATATATATATAGAAGTTTATTTGTGATGGTTTGCCGTCACCTCTGCGCTGCCTGTTTGAGAGTTTGCTGGTTTATTTACGATCAGTTGCAACACTCATGCTCCTAATACACCGCATACCGTCATAATTATTATAAATGTTAAGTGTTTGTAAGTGAAGATGTTTGTAAGTCGAGGCCTTTGTAAGTTGGGGACTCCGCATTCCGTCTCCCCCCCTGTGTATGACATTGAAGAAAATGATTGATTTACTCTTATCTTTTGTGAGGAAAATATAGACACTTGTTCTTTGAAATATTCTGCTGACAAGCCTCCAGCCACCCCACCGCCTGATGCCCACCCGTCCACTACCCACTGACCCACCACTCTACCGTCCACCTGTCCACCACCCACTGACTCACCCGTCTACCATCCACTCGTCCACCACCCACTGCCCTCCTGTTCATCGTCCACCCATCCACCACTACAATCGTCACCTCCAGCAATACTATTATCTCCACCACATCACTTTTCCAACACCCAACAGTATTTCCAACGTTACCAACCACAGTCACGGCTACCACCACCATAGTTACCAATATAGCAGTCACCACCAGCACTGTAACCACCACCATTACTACTCCTGTAGAACCTCCTGCAAGCATGTGAATTAACACCTTGTTAGTTGTTTACCTGTGCCCCAACTCTTAATTAACACTTAACACTAGTAACATACACCTTCCTAGCGTGAGAAACACAAACATATATTCATAACAATATGTGTGGAGGGTCTGTGACCACCAGCACCAGCGCCAGGGACCACAAGACCAGTGCCTCCAGGCAGGATGCGAACCAGCTTTCCCGAGGATGTGTTCTGGAGGAGGCGCTGCCACTGCCCTGTTCTTCATGCCCCTCGGGAAGGCCAAACTTGCCCCCTGGGTACCCATTGTCGGTGCGTCCGTCTCCGCCGAACTCCAGCCGCTGGCGCTGCCGCTGTCGGCTCTGCTCCTTGTCGAAGTCGACTCCCAGACCGGCGGTGGCTCCGTCAGCGCCGGCTGAGCCGGCTGCGCCGTCTAGGTGCCTGCTCTGGCCGCCCTCCCGACGACGCAAGTCCAGGGAATTGACGGACTTGCTGTGCGGCGTCGTGACGTACAGGTGGTACTGGTGCTCCGTCGTCGACCTGGAAGCATGAAAGAAGCAGAGGTCATCAGAGGTTGTCGCGTGGAGGCATCGTCGTACCGACGCATCGCGACACTACGTCACCGACCATACATGTCCGTCTTCTTCACCCGTCTCTTGGAATGCATGACCGAGTCTCCCGTCTCTCTTCCCCCCCCCCTCCCACCCCGCCGCCCTTCTGTCTCCCCGTTCGTCTCACCGTCCGCCCGCCCGTCCGTCCATCCGTCAGTTCACATCCACACGCAAAAAAAAAAAAAATAAAAAAATCGTGATGACGTGTCACACAACCATCATATCTACACATCTACAACCTACACTGATTTGCCGCTAGGGCTGAAAACATGTTTTTTTTTTAACCCCTCAGAGCGCCATTTCTTTTTTTCTTTTGCTAAATCACCCCCTTTTTTTTTTCTCCTCCACCGAAACGTTGATCAAATTACGAGTTAAAAATGGGTTATCTAGGTTATTTACCTGTTTCAAGTTAATGAAATAAATGATTCCTTTGAGCGTGTTGTCCCTTTGAGCTTGACGTAGGCTCCACCGCTAGCAACCAAAACAACAGATCTAATCGCAACGAGTCTAGCGGTTTGAGTTTGGTAGGGGCAAAACAAAGTCTTTTAAAACGATGAAATGTGCAGCTGGGATCTGTAAAACTAGCTTTACACCGACGATTATGGATGGGATTCTGTGTCTCTTATCTCTCTTATCTCTCTCTCCCATCTCTCTCTCTCTAGTGCCTCTGCTGACCTTTGGATAGTGACCTTTGACCTCTGAGAGGCAGTGACGAACTATGAGGCAGATGCTGCCAGCCTTGGGAATTCACATTTGCAAATCATTATATATCAACATACAACAGAATGTGTCTGAAATGACTGTGTATGTGTTCACACACATACACACACACACACCACACACACACACACACACACACACACACACACACACACACACACACACACACACATGCACACACACACACACACACACACACACACACACACACACACACACACACAAACACACACATACACATACACAAACACACACACACGCACACGCACACACACCCACACACACACACACACACACATACACACACACATACATACAAACACACACACACCAACCACACACAACACACACACACACACACACAAAACACAAACACACACACACACATACACACACAACACAAACACACACACACACACACAATCACACACATACACACACACACCACACACCACACACACACACACACACACACACACACACACACACACCACACAACACACACACAACACACACACACACAACACACACACACACAGGGGACAAGATAACGATATATAAAATACTGAGAGGAATTGACGAGGTGAACAAAGACAGAATGTTCCAGAGATGTGACACAGCAACAAGGGGACACAGTTTGAAGCTGAAAACACAGATGAATCACAGGGATGTTAGGAAGTATTTCTTCAGTCACAGAGTAGTCAGGAGGAGCTTAAAGCTATTAGTGAAATTGAAAGAAATTCAAAATATTTCTTTTCATATGCCAAAAACAAGGCAAATACCACATCTAGTATCGGGCCCTTACTCAGACAGGATGGGACTTACACAGACGACAACAAGGAAATGAGTGAAATATTGAAATCCCAGTACGACTCTGTGTTTAGTGAACCACTAATCGGTCTGAGGATCGACGACCCAAATGATTTCTTCATGAATGAGCCTCAAAACTCCATAAATGTATGCCAGATTTCCGACATTACCCTAACTCCGATAGATTTCGAAAAAGCCATTGACAACATGCCTATGCACTCAGCCCGGGCCCAGACTCGTGGAACTCTGTTTTCTTTAAGAACTGCAAGAAACCCTCTCGCGTGCCCTAAGTACACTATGGAGGAGGAGCTTGGACATGGGTGAAATTCCACAGTCACTTAAAACAACGGATATAGCACCGCTCCATAAAGGTGGCAGCAAAGCATTAGCTAAGAACTATAGACCAATAGCTCTGACGTCCCACATCATAAAAATCTTTGAAAGAGTGCTAAGAAGCAGGATTGCAAATCACCTGGATTCCCAAAATCTGCACAATCCAGGGCAACATGGGTTCAGGGCAGGTCGCTCCTGCCTCTCACAACTACTGGATCACTATGACATGGCCTTGGATGCACTGGAAGAAAATCAGAATGCAGATGTAATATACACAGACTTTGCAAAAGCATTTGACAAATGCGATCATGGCGTAATAGCCCATAAAATACGTTGCCCAAAGGAATAACTGGGAAAGTGGGGAGATGGATCTTCAACTTCCTAACAAAAACCGAACACAAAGAGTAGTGGTCAACAGAGTTAAATCGGAGGCTGCCATAATGAAGAGCTCTGTTCCACAAGGCACAGTACTCGCCCCCATCTTATTCCTTATCCTCATATCAGACATAAACAGAGATATACACCACAGCACCGTATCATCCTTTGCGGATGATACTAGGATCTGCATGAGGCTGTCATCTGCTGAGGACGCGGTTAACCTCCAAGAAGATATAAACAAAGTTTTCCAGTGGGCAACGGTAAACAATATGATGTTCAATGAGGACAAATTCCAACTACTCCGTTATGGAAAACTGGAGGAGATAATAACTAGAACAGAGTATACTACTGACTCCGGCCATACAATAGAGCGGAAAAATAATGTAAGGGACCTGGGAGTAGTAATGTCTGAGGATCTCACTTTCAAGGATCACAACAGTGCCACGATCGCACGTGCAAAGAAAATGATAGGATGGATAATGAGAACTTTCAAAACGAGAGATGCCAAGCCCATGATGATCCTTTTCAAATCACTTGTTCTCTCTAGGCTGGAATACTGCTGTACATTAACATCTCCATACAAAGCAGGTGAAATCGCAGCTCTAGAGAGTGTACAGAGATCCTTTACTGCACGTATAAGTTCTGTCAAGCACCTTAACTACTGGGAACGCTTGGAAGCACTTGACTTGTACTCGTTGGAACGCAGGAGGGAGAGATATATCATAATCTACACTTGGGAAAATCTTGGAAGGAATGGTCCCAAATCTGCACACAAAAATCACTCCCTACGAAAGTAAAAGACTGGGCAGGCGATGCAAAATGCCGCCAATAAAAAGTAGGGGCGCCATTGGTACACTAAGAGAAAACACCATAAGTGTCCGGGGCCCAAAACTGTTCAACAGCCTCCCATCAAGCATTAGGGGAATTGCCAATAAACCCCTGGCTGCCTTCAAGAGAGAGCTGGACAGATACCTAAAGTCAGTGCCGGATCAACCGGGCTGTGGCTCGTACGTCGGACTGCGTGCGGCCAGCAGTAACAGCCTAGTTGATCAGGCCCTGATCCATCGGGAGGCCTGGTCATGGACCGGGCCGCGGGGGCGTTGATCCCCGGAATAACCTCCAGGTAACCTCCAGGTAAGTGGAATAGTTTGGGAAGCGATGTAGTGGAGGCAGGATCTATTCATAGCTTTAAGCAGAGGTATGATAAAGCTAATGGTGAAGGTAGAGTGATCCAGTAGCGGCCAGTGAAGTGGCGGGGCTAGGAGCTATGAATCGGCCCCTGCAACCACAACTAGGTGAGTACACACGCAAGGGGTCATAATTGGAAGTTGAAGACTCAGTGAATCACAGGGATGTTAGGAAGTTTTTCTTCAGTCACAGAGTTGTCAGGAAGCGGAATAGTCTCGGAAGTGATGTAGTGGAGGCAGGATCCATACATAGCTTTAAGAAGAGGTATGATAAAGCTCATGGAGCAGGAAGAGTGACGTAGTAGTGACCAGCGAAAAAGTGGGACCAAGAGCTGTGACTCGACTTTTGCCATCACAGCTAGGTGAGTACACATCGAGTCCCTAGGTCAATTCAAACCTAATACATGTATATATATATATATTATATATATATATATATATATATATATATATATATATAATATATATATATATATATATATATATATATATTATATATATATATATATATATATATATATATATATATATATATATAATATATAATATATATATATATATATATATATATATATTATATATATATTATATATATATATATATATATATATATATATATATATATATATATATATATATATATTATATATATATATATACATGTATATATATTTATAAAGCAAGCTTTTATATAAAGCAGTGGTAACGGACTCGTTGAACACACTTTAGTCCACTCGTTGTACACTCGTTCCCTTGAAACTCATCATCATAATTAAGGGGAAGTGCTGAACACTTTAATAGCCATCCAACACTTGTGTAACGGAAGATAATGAGGTTTAATTCGAGGAAAGGGACGGTGGGTGTCAGTCTGAAATACTGATGCTGGAAGCGTTCTTGAAATGACACCAGGATCTCAGTAACTTCAGTCAACCATAACACTGTATCTACGATGTCACTGCACTGTTAATGTCTGAGTGGTCGTTAGACTTCTTGTCGATATTTGAATAAATGGTTCTTAGCGTGGCTTGTTAGTGTTGTGTATGGTAGTTACAAGGTGGGGATTAGTGGCTGTTAGAATGGTATTTATGGTAGTTACTGGGTGGGTGCGGGACAGGGAAGGAATGGCAGTGGAAGGCAAAAGAGAGGATAAGCAGAGAAGGCATACGGGATGTGATGAATGTGGTGATGGTTATGATGATGATGATGGTGGTGATGATGGTGGTACTGATGATGGTGATGGTAATGATAATGGTGGTAGTGATGATGGTGATGGTGATGATGGTGGTAGTGATGATGGTGATGGTAATGATGATGGTGGTAGTGATGATGGTGATGGTGATGATGGTGGTAGTGATGATGGTGGTGGTGACGGTGGCGGTGACTGGAGAAAGGAGATGCACCACTACAACCATCCCCCCGCTCCCCCTACCACCCCCTATCTCCGCAGATCACCACCATGATTACCCCCCTGCCCGCCCTCCCCAGCCCTAAATTCCTCTCC